TGTATGATCAATAAGTAGTGCCTTACTATACAAGTTGTCTCCTTGGGAATGCTCCGGAGCTATGATAGGAACATACATTCCATTAATCGCTCGGGCCCCATTACCGTTTAGCTCTTGATGAATTTCTTCTACCTTCCTCTGTTTTAATTCATGCAAGCTACTCACATATAAGTTAATGTTACAGGAATTTCAATAAACTCGTTGAAAGTAAGCATTCGTAAGTGTCCTACTTGGCATTAGTCCGAAATATCTGACATTTTCGTGGCTTTTTAACAATTTCGATATTTTACGTGCCAAGTAAAATATCAAAATGGTTAAAAAGCCAGGAAAACGTAAGATACTTCGGATTACCTTGGCCTTTTGATCCCAGCATGAATGTCCAGAGGTTCGTGTTAATTTCCAATTCACATATTTGTATAGTTTAAAGATTTTTGAGATCGAACACTGGTAGTTTTCTTCATCCCTTTCATTTTACTAGTAAATACTTAATTACATGACTGATGTTTATCATACTAATTGTCAGTCAATTGTATATACATGTAAACTGAATTGACGACGGATTTTCCCGTTATTTCCCGATCATGACAATGAGCACACGGCGGGTGTGACCGGTTGACAGGGAATGCTCTCTCCTCCATGGCACCTGATCCCATATCTGATGTTTTGGATGTCCGTGTTTGCTCTGCTCCTATTTTGTAGTTCTATGGACTTTGATGTTGAATGCTGCTCGTTATATCTCCATGTCCTTCATGAATAATATTTAAGTGGATATTTTATAATAGCATCGCACACTCGATGTACTGTAGATTTCCCAACACCAAAAAGATTCCAATCGTCCTATTACTGCTGAAGACGTCGATCAGTAGATGGTGACAGTCACCTTTTTATTTACACCCAACGGCTCTTCTACAGTCTTTAGAATCAAGGCCAAAACATTTTCCAACTTTAAACAAAAATTTTAATGAATTTTCCTTCTTTGAGTGTTAATATTTATACCATTCTTTGTCCTTAGTATAATTAAGTAGCTTTATTTTGTACCAATTTAGTGGATCGGATTTCCACCCTAGTCTTTAAGGAACATTCAAAAGTTAGTCTTTTACCCAAACAGTAAGGAAATACACTTTTCTATAAAGATTCACAATTCTGAATCTGTCCATCTCCGTATTTTATATGAAAATATCAGGATTTACTAATAGAACATAAATCTCGTCCGAACGAATAGTAAATTAACTTTTACTTACGTGTGTAGATATACTTATATGTAAAGAACTATATGCGGTATATTGCATATACTTGCCCCCACAAAAGTCAAATTTTGAAAACTTCCTGAAATGTGCTGAATTTAATAAATTATATGAGAAATCTAAATTAACAGAACATATTATAGTTTCAAAGTGGTTTATTCAAAATTTTTGTTTTTAAGATGTCACAAACTAGTCCGATTTTATATCCTTTTTCAGAAAGAGCACAAAATGGACAAAATTTCAACAATTTTAGCTTTAAAATTTATAGAGCGCATGTTTGTTCAGGAACAATATTTACATGTTTCATTGATATTATCATTCTGCACATTATATCAAAATATTGATCCTGAACACACATGCGCTCGGTGACTTTTACTCAAAATATCGATGAAATATGTACATTTTTCTGTAGAATTCATAAAAAACTGAAATTTACGTCATGTTTGTGACGTCATTACGTACATATGACGTCATTACTTATGAAAATATTCAGTGTTTTGAAGTCAACATATACTCCCCTGTTTAAGAACATAATTAAATATACCTCCATCAAAGTTTGATTTGGGGGGCAAATATTGGTTATTACCGAATAAAGTTCTTTGCACACATAAGCAAATTTTCGTCGTATGAATATATAGTGAAAAAGTGAAACCAATAAGATCAAAAGTGAGCTCATCTAAGTTCTATGGCCCCTAGGCCAGATTCTCTGATGTTTTGGAGGTCCGTTTTTGCTCTGCTACTATTTTGTATTGTTAAAATGACTTTAAAGCATGAATACTGTTCGTTATCTCCATATATTTCCCCCCAACAAAAATCTACTACAGTTAAGTATAGTTCATACTTTGATACATTTATTTGCGAAGAAACTTTACTTTATAACATTTTTGAAGATTTGGAGCTTTAAAATTTCTGATATTATATACCAATCATGTATTTTTAAATGCAAAAAATATGTTAATATACAACATTTTTATATATCAGAAAGTTACTTGTGAATTAAAAAAAATAATTAGAAATTCATCCAAAATATACGTAAATTCACTTTATTGAAAACTTTGATTTACAATCGTTAAGTTACTATAGTTAACAATAATTTAATATCGTATTTTTGTAGGAATATGAGGCATTCTTAATTTTTTTTTAAAATCCAGTTCAATACTCGATAATATAAATGCAAAAAAACATGGTTAGTAAAAAAAACTTCTACAGCACAAAAGCGGTTAAAAGATTTGTTGTAAATGGATTAAAGATGACGACAGTTTTCTTTTAATTAAAGTTGATTATCACAAAATATTAATTTGTTCATTAAATACTGTTCACATATCAAACATAACTGATGCAAACTAAATGATTTAAATTTTTATTTCTTTTTCATGAACCGTAATTAAAATTATGCCACTTTAGCATCAATGTACATAGTATGAGATATAACTTTGGTTAAAAAAATAAACTTCAGATGGAAGTAATTGAGGAAATCCTACAAATAAAATTAACCTTTTTTGTCAAGGATAGGAAATCTTTGCAACTTTTTTCTTTGGGGCATATTTTATGATGCTAGAAAAAAGTGTAAACAGATAAATCATGGAAGAAACCATCATGTATTCTATTGGCATAGTACCAATCAATTATAAGATCGCCCCCTCAGCAGCAGGAAAATACACCATATGGCCTTTATCTTTGACCCAAAGAATACACAGTGTAATTCAAAATTTAGGGACACTCTTTGCACATCCATGATGCTAATTTCGATAAAGTTAGTAGATTTTAAGATTCATCTAAGCATGACTTTATATTTTTCGCACCTCAAAAGAATGTTTTACCAAAAGAACTATTATCTAAATATTTAGATAACTGGGATTAAAAATCTGGGTTTTTTTCCTAAAAAAATTAATTTAACCCTACTTCATATAAATTTTTAATCTGAATTGCATATTGATGTTTCCATGTACCCTAGCTTGAGGCACACACGGCGATTGTGACTAGTTTGAAGGGGATGCTTACTCTTCTGTGTTCCCTGATCCAACCCCTGTTTTCATAAGTACGTGTTGACTTTGCAAATAGTGCTTACAGAGAAATTTAAGAATGATCACTGTTCGTTTTATTTATATTACATTCCCTAAAACCCATTAAATATATTTAATTAAGATTATGAACGATATCCAAATACATTTAATTTTAGAGAGAGAAAACAAAAACAAGAAGACAGGCTAGGACTTTATTATCATTAATATTTTTTCTAAATAATGCACTCAAACGAAAGCAAAATTATACGCAAACTAAAAGAGAAGTAGGATCAGATTCCATTGAAAACGGAGCATCCCCTATCGACAGGTACCCCCCCCCAAAGTTACCTCCTCTTTGTGATAGGGTAAATAGCAATTCGTAGACTCTTCGATGTGGAAATGGTAGTGTAAAAATTGCATAATGTCTAATTCAAAGTTAAATCAATTTTAAAGATAAAATAGATGTAATACAATTTGTAAATAAAAACATTTTTTGCATTTTGAATTAATCTTAACAAGTCGAACAAGTTACTGAAGACTTTTTGATATTTGTGTTTGATACGGCCTAATTTATAGAAAAAGCAGTCGAGACAAGATAACCAAGAATGCCTTAATTAAGGATATCCGATCTCAGCCAAGAAGAGTATATTTTAAAACCACTGTTTAATCAATAAAACTCAAAATAGAGCTTGAAATCATATTTTTATGCAACAATTTTGCTACAATACTTCTCAATATGAACAAAGGCTCTCTGATGTCCTAGAAACTGTATTGTGAAGAGCTTGTATTTGTACCCCATAAAAGTACTTTAGAGATATAAATATTCTTACATCTAGTCTTATTATTAGAATGCTATGAAAATAAAATATTCTAAATTGTTTTTGCGATAATAGTACAAACTTTTAACACTATGTCTTATACATGTAAGATAACAATTATCATTAGAAAGAAAGAAATAGAGAAGTAAAATATAGTATGAGTATTAAAACACATGCAATTTTCACTGCTTGGATTCATAGAGCTTTGTTTTCAAATAAATACTAGTATTTAATTTTGCTAAATTGTGCAGTAAGAAAATCCATACCAAGTGCTTTGATTTAAGTTTCCTGGAAATATATTTGAATTTTGATAATTTTCTATAAAAATATTCTTAAATTTTTAAGAAATATCATTGATGGATGTACATTTTAATACATTGAATTCAAAGGCAGTTTAACGTTCTCTTGAATGTACTTAGCTATTGGTTTTGAGAACCTTACGATCGGATAACCAGCACTTTGTTTTTTTTTTCAATGTAGATAGTTTTCGATGGACCTAATTTTAGCAAAAGTTATCTCCCGTTGGTCGCCATATTGGAGGTCGACTTGGTGAGTTTTCCTCTTTGTCTTACCAAGTTTAAGAAAATATAGCAGAAATATTTGGTGAAAAATCTTTATTTAATATTTCTTTTTAAATAAAGAAGGTTCCAAAAATTTATATACTTCAGAAAAATAACGATTCCTAATTCAAAATCGCAAATATAAAAATTTAGAATTGGTTGAACAATGAAGCAATTTGAGCATTTGGACCTCCAGTATGGCTGCCAACGGGAGGTAACTTTTGCTAAATTTAGGTCAAGTGAAAGCTATCTATATCGGGGTATCTCAACTAGATTTAAACTTTTGAAAGATATTTTTATTGCACTATTTGTATCAGCAAGCAAATGAGCTATGGATATAATGACTTATTAAGTTATTTTAAAAACAGAAAAAGATTTATCAGAACTCATCGTTTTTATTATTTTTCTTTTCAATTTAATCTACATATATTTATTATTTTATACATTCAGAAATTGTTGACATCGATTTATGCAAAATAAAACAAAGTGTACCTTGTTTGTAATTTTGATAATGTCAATCACAAAATACCATAACGTAGGTGAGACAGACTACACGAAAATGATATAGACATGTACATAGCTTTCTGTCTACAAACTCTATGGTACATGACAACAACATACTAACACAAAAGATATATGAGTAAAAAAATCTTGCTTATTGCCCTATGATATTGATATTAAAGCTTGCTGTGTAAAATATGATTGTAGTAGAGTGATGTAGATATACATAAACAAATTTGATTATATCACACGACATGTTCAGGCAAATCATGACGTCGTTTGCTTCCATTTGACGTCATTAATACTCCACTAAAGTTTGAAGTCCTGGATGTACTGAAACTCCGTCGACCTTTGTTACAGAGTGTAAAACATAGTTTTTGTTTTAATGTTTCCCAGAATCTTTCACTGAACCAGCAGTAAAGGATGAAATTAAATGTAGATTTCAGTGGCATGAGAAAAATAGCTATATAAAGAAGAATATAAAAGGTGTGTCTGTCAAAGTTACTTTTGTACAGAAAAGCATTCATGACGACATACGGTGCTTCACACACAAAGAAAATTATAATCAAACATACTAACATGACTGATATTTTCAGTTGTTCATTTGACAAAACTCTTTGCATCGAATGGTCAAGTCCAACATTGTTTCTAATGTATCTCGTAGAAGCCCGGATTTCGTAAATCAGCCTTGTATTTAGAATTAAGAGAAACAAGAAAGGTAATATGGCTGATAAAGTGCAATCCACCACCCAGCGATAAATTTCTTTTTCCTTGGGGTCCACGAATAACCAGGGTGCAGTGTGTGAGTATGTTACAGTCGGTCCGCCACATTCTGGTTCGTGTCTCACAGTCTCAACCTTGTTCTCGAAAAAGTAAGGTATCCGGATAACAAAGGAATACAAAAAGACAGCAATGATGACAAAACGTGCCCTTCTGATGGAGCAAATCATGTTTGCTCTGAGAGGGTGAACAATGGCGACATATCGCTCTGCGGCCAGAACGACATTTATCCACACGGATGCGCTCAGAAACGTAGTTAAGGGGATCCTTGTGTAGTTGAATACTATTCCGAAAAGGAAGCCATCCCTCTCATCAGTGAGAAAACGCTCAAAAAATCGAGGAAACAAAAAGACCAGGAATCCAAGATCAGCAGCAGATAATGCGATTAGATAGCAATTAGTCGACGTGCATAAACTTTTCCTAGAAAGAACAATTATTGTTAAAATTATCCCAATGATTCCAATGGCGGAGATGATTGGAGCTAAGATAGAGAAGATTGTTAAGTAGCCCGGATTTTCTTCCACTGGGACGGTTAAATTTGGTTCCTGAATACAAAGACACGGATTGTAAAACACAGATCCATTGATGATTTCCAAACAGTCTATGTCATAGTCAGGAATTGTATCATGAGAAATATTGTATTGGCTCTGATTTTGATGCTCAAGTTGTGGGGACATCATGATAAGAGATTGTCCTTAATTATCCAAAGATAACGCCTCCAATCGAATCATTCCATTCTGAAATAGAAAATTAAACTTAAATACTGAATATTAAAGTATGTGTGTTAATGATTCGTTTTGGCTGCAGAACGCCATACATAGATGATGTTCAAGGACGGAGGCCTTGCTTAGGGAGTGAACTTCCTACAATCCCCTAGGTTTTTCTAGTGAAGGTTATCTGATCTAAGACGTTGATAACGAAGGTTTTATTTTTCGAACAATCCGTATCGTGCTCTGGTTAATGGAAAAAAAAGTGATGCAATCAAATGTAATTATAGTCTCTGACAACAACTCTCGCTAAAACTATCAGTTTTTATAAGATATTATGACGCTTTTACGAATCAAAGCCATTTTGGGGGCATTTTCACACCCAATACTTTCCTATATATAAAACGACAGAGTTTCGTCTGTCTTGATTATACAAAAAGCATAACAATTTCAAGTTTATAAATACTCTTTCATTTAATTCAAGCATTTTTTTTTAGAGTTACACTTCAGTACATTAAAGAAATGTGAATATTTTCAAAAAAAGCCCTGATCCTAAATTTACGATATTTACAAGTGAATTGAACCATTAATATTTAACAAAAGACATTTTAAAAGATTTTTTAATAGTTCACATCTGTATAATCAGTCAAGAACTTGATTAAATCTTCGTTCTATCCAATTAATTAATATGATAGAATAGCACATGCACGTCTATACATAGTCAACATCGTTTTACTAAATATCTCTATTCTTTTGAACATAGTGCCGTCACACCTACCTATCTACGAACGTATCTTATTATTAATAATCAGGAATACACAGAAAATAATTTTGAATTTAAAATTTATAAAAGCAAATTAGCATTCATTATTTCTTACCTGTATTCTTCACATGAGTTAGAAAAAAGGAATAATAAGTGTTCCAAACCTATTCAGTTGCCTTGGAATGATATGAATTTGTCTTTAATCATTTTTCAACCTTGACAGTCTCCTCTTAGAGAAGGGTGGAGAGTGACATGTAATAGCTCATTCTCTTATCAAAGACATTTATACTTTCCGGCATTGGACATAATTAAGTATCAGAAAAAGCATTAGTACATGCGTACACTAAAAGTCAAAAAAGAAATATGTTACCACGAACAAAAAAGGCCAACACAGATAAAGAGACTATGGGGATCTTTGCAAAGGGAAGAATATTTTTTCACATCTCTGAGTTTCGGTCATTCCCTGAAAATTATCAATTTTTATTCAAATGTTGAATTTTTAATAATATCAATAAGTGTTAACTGAAAGAATTAAATTGAGAGAACTGAATTTTTTGCTTTTGAAAAAAATATTTACAAAGGTAAACAGGTATCTATTTTTATACAGAATTATACGGAAGTGTCCTTCGGTTTACCTATTACCTAACGGAAGTTTACTGGAAAAGAAGAAAAACAGGCCATATACGAACCGAAGGCACAGTATGTTTTGTCATTAAAATGCAGAGTTATCATCAATAAGATACAAGGAAAGCACTGATAGAATTATTTTCTATTTACAGAAGTGGACAGGATTTCGCCTGTATCAAAAAATGATTTAGATGTCCACTTCCCTACAGAGAATAGAAAAAGTTCTAACATTTTCAAATGTCCTCATATACATCTTTGACGCTTCGACTAACTGGGCAACGAAAAGAATAAATGTATATTCTAAAAAACGTTAGATTTATTGATTGTATAATTTAACACTGGAAACATGAAAATCTATGCAAAAATGATGAAAAATTTTACATGTAGCATTTCTAATCTAGAAACTCTTTTTGCTATTCTACATTCAATTTCAAGATATGTGTATTTAAGAAAGAGGACACTTTTTATATATATGCAATAGAAAAATTTCATCTGAATAAAGAAATCGGAAGCCATTTGAGAACATTTTCACACAGTTATTAATCTTTTTTAATAATGACATGCTCATTAAATTATTATTTCATTGACATTTGAGTAAGGATTGCTTTTTCCTGGCCTGATTTCGTTATGTCAATATAAATGACAATTATGATTAACAGCTATCGAAAGAAAGCACCTCAAATCAAACAGACATTTCAACTGGAAGTCCAGGGAATGTCTTTATATGTTTTGAGTAAAAATAAAAATCCCCGATGCTATATATGCATGCTTTGGCAAAATGGAACTACAAGGTTGTGTATGGCTGATCGATTTAGACTGGGGAGAGTTTTATAATCTATTTAATATATTTATATATACTTTTATACTGTTTACTAGTTGATTGCAATGGAGTCTTTTTTAATAATCGCCATTATTTAATTTTCCATCGTAGTATTTTTCGGTTTGCTTTAGTCTTTTTCTATATTTATTCATTTTGTTATTTTTGTTAAATAAACTTCTACTTTTTTCACGTTTTGCAAAATGTAAATAAAAATATATGATCTAATTTTTAAAAGCGGTCTTTCAAACTGTTTGCATTTTCAATGTATTAAAATCCGTTTTTTTTTAAAAATATGTTATACTGTAAATTTGTTTTGCCTTATAATCATTGGAATTAAGCTATCGTTAATCAAATATATGATCTATTTTTTAAAAGCGGTCTCTCAAACTGTTTGCATTTTCAATGTAATGTATAAAATTTTGTCATTAAATACAATAAAAATATATATGAGCGAAATTTTTTTTAAATATGCGTGGAAGGTTCACCTTCATTCTGTGTACCATCAGAATTCTTTATGATGTTATTTCCCTCAGTGTAAACAAACCCATCTCTGAAAAATTGTATATCATAGGTTTTGTTTACCTTTAACACACGCTTTTGTGATAGATGCAATAAATAAAAAAACCATCTGGAACTGAATGACCTTAATTTTGTGAAAAAAAACTGAAAGTAATAAAATCTTGCCGTTACAAAGAAAGAATGAAGGTGAACCATCACCACCGATTTAAAACCACTATAAATACACGATGTCTGCATTACTTCAAAATATTGGAATAATAGTTTATTTTGATTTATATATTTCATTAATTTCTGAATCCCTATGCCAATTTCTATATAAAAAATAAATTAAGGAATTTTATTCGTGATCGGTTCAAATATCGTTATCTGGAGAGAGTGGGGTTTTATATTAGCTACTAATTTAACGACATGAACATTTTACAACCTCCTTTATAATTTGTCGGTTTGTAGGGTGATTTTTTCGAGAAATGAACTGAAGTTTTATAAAGTTTTTAGACTTGACTTATCTGGGATTTCTGAGTGAACCATTTTTATTATTATTTCCTCGGTTTTCAGACACAGTGTACATTATATCTGGATCGACACAGTGGGGATTCGGTTCACTTTACACCTGTACAATGTGCACTGATAAAACACGAAGCACAGAATCTCCTTACCCAAATCATGGGGTGCCTTTATCGTAAAGATGATAGTGGATTTCAGACTTCTTAAACATTCATTTGGGAGTATGTAACTTTTTATCTGTTATAATCTAACCTATATCAAAAATAGAAGCCGATTATGCTCAGATTGAAGATTTCGAAGTTAAAAAACATAAAATTTCAACATAAAAGTTTAAATTTTTGGCTTAATTTAAATTATCTGGCGCCATTATGTAATATGATGATAATAATAAGGGTTTCACCTTATGGTTTCGTGAATTAAGTTTTCATTGCACGGTATTGAATGCTCAATTCTGACTCACAATCTAAGAAAAAAAAATAAAATAATTGTAGAAAAGTAAAAAAAAAAAAAAATTAAACTTCCAATCGACAGATATATTATTTGGCAGTTACGCCTACTTCTCAATTTTTTGCCCTCCGAGCACATCTGTTAGTTTTCAATATATCTTTTTATTATTTTTATTTTATTCGAATGAAAGTATAGAGGATGTTCACACTAAGAACATGTTACATTAATTAGTGCAGTTGAAAATCGAGCCGCATTCAGCAAAATTATCGTTGACAAAATATTTTGATTCTGATAACTTATATTTTCTATTTCAATGCAATTACTGATTATTTCTGCATACCTAAATCCACATTCTGTGGAAACATTGCGATGAAATATTTCCTCTCCCGCCGCGAAAGAAGTTTTTAATTATAACATGAAAAGCAGTTGTATTATTATCACCACGAAATAATTCCGACGAGAACCCTTTTTTATCAGACTGATCGAGAAAATAGAACAAAAACATAACGATGCACAAGCATTTAGGAAACTGTACATAAAGGATTTATCAGGTTTTATCAAAGTTTACAGAGGTACCTGTATTCTGAAAGTTTACTAGAGTAAAAGTGAAGCCTTCTCTGTGAGCATTTTACCATTTCCTGCCGTCATTATTAATAATTATAGAGTCTATAAATCTACGTATTTACTGTAAATATATTATATTTAGAGTGTACGATATTTGACGGTAATTGATTTTCAAACACGTTAACCTTGGATGAACATCTTAATATGACATATTTATAACAAATTTTACAGTTATATACGCACAGAAAATGAATGATTGTACATGTATATCTATCTATGTGCAAGACATTTAGCAATGTACTTGAATCACTGGTATTTTTCTTTCCGTGAACGGCGCTACAAAGAATACACAGTCAAAATGTGCTACGCTTAAAGTATGGAAAGAAAGCACCAGAGGATTTTGCCTGTGTCTTAAGGATTATATAGAAATAGAGCATTTGCTCCTTGTCATGATCGAGAAAAACAGGAATATCTATAAACAATTCCTTGTGTAATAATGGCCTAACAAATAGTATCAAAAGATTCATCGGTATTTAGTGCAATGAAAGATCGTATTTGCTTACAAGTTCATTGTATCATAAACAAAACTTGCAAAATGATGATTTTCAACAAGACATTCGATATTCCTGTTTAATAACTTGTTTGTTTCTTACCTGCCTCGTTTAAAAAAATGTGCTATACATGTATACACGTAGTGCATGCTTGTATCGATATAAATTCCATTTTAAGGTGAATTGCTACATAAGTAAGGAAAGTTGACAGTGGAAAAGTCGAAGTCATCACATT